AAGCCAGCAAGCAAACACCGTGAATTCCTTAGGGTGGTGCCAGTCTCATCCTCTTAACCTTCCCATGCTCCTGCTGGGGGCTAAGGAAATGCTTATCTCCCCAAGCGCTGCCTTCACCAAACCATTCCATCACAGCTGTGCTGTCTCTTATCTGACTGTTCCCTAGGCAGTGTTTCCTGGCCTCGTTTCCCAAGGTCTTTCCCGCATACCAGTACAATATAAGGATAGCATATTGTAACAAGGTGCCTGTTTTTGTCCTAGGGAAGATGAACCTCACAGCAAGTGCAGAGGCCTTGAGCTCAGATCAGCTCTGTGGGAATGAAGTGGTGGAGGTGCTCACCATAGGAAACAAAGATGTCGTGATCAAGTCACTATTAGTTGAGGTTTGTGGGATGCTTTAAGCCTGGGTTAGGAATGAGGGGACATAGACTTCTGGGTACAGCAATGGCGGACTAACATAGACTTCTGGGTACAGCAATGGCAGAGATGACACTGAGGCAATTACTGATGGCTGGGCGATGCGCCCCAGCTAGCAGAGCTTCCCCAGACAAGAAGGAAGATCGCCCATCTGAGCTCCAGTGAGCTGCTCCTTGGGAGAAGGCTGGCAAGATTGGAAGGGATCTTGTCAGCAATGATTTTCCCTTTTTTTCCTTTTTCACTTTGTTTCCCTTTGGATTACAAATTTTACAACAGAAAAAGTGGCTACTACAAGAAAGGCAGTGAAAGCTACAGAAGTGACAACAACAAGGAGGGGATCACTTACTGAAGGCCAGCAGATGACAGAAAAAGGGATTACTCGAGAGACTTTACATAAAATGTTTGAGGAATTAGGGAAGAATGTTACTGCATCAGTTAAGAGGAAGCTGACTAATTTAGGAGAGAGAATAGATTTACGTTCATGGAAAAATAGATGGATAAAAAACTAGAGGACTTTAGAAAAAATAATTGGAGAAGTTAAACAGAATAAGGAAAAAATAGAAATTTTGGAAAATAAAGCAGAAGTAACTAACCAAGAGATGGAAAAGGCCCTAGATAATGTGGCTCTTTTGAAATTAAGAGACAAGGAATTCTGCTCCAGACTGAGGGCAGTGCAAGAAGAACACAGTGAACTGGAAGATTCATGGCAGATTGATCTTATATATGGTAACTGCAGCAAGATTACTGTATGCTCAAAGATGGAAAAATAATGAAATTCCCACAGTGGAGGAATGGATTGTGAAAATGTCAGAATTTGCTGAAATGGCAAAGCTGACCTGTTTGATTAGAGAAAAAGCAACAGAAACTTTTTTGAAAGACTGGAAACCTTACATGGACTTTTTGCTGAAAGAAGAAAAGATGCGGACTAAGCAAGAGGTTGAAGGGATTTGTCTAATATCTAAGAGGGAGGGAACAATATACCATTGTAATTAACTGTTGTAGAGAAGGTCAGAAGTCATTATATTTCATAACTTTCTTTTCTTTTCTTTTTCTTTTCTTGCACCTTTTCCTCTTTTCTTTGCTTCCTGCTTTCTTTCTTTTGCTTTAGATTTGTCTTTTATCTTCTGTAACATTCTTAATAAATATAAATACATTTCTGGAGTCCTTGGTGCTCTCTGAGCTTGGTTATTTGCTTGCAGACATTTCATTACCTGTCTAGTAACATCATCAGTGCTAGTGAGTGTGGGGCTTTCTCTCTGTTTATATACAGTAGCTTTTACAGCAATATAGAACAATAGTTTTATACCATATAAAAACAGGGAGCAAACCCCACAATCACTAGCATTGATGATGTTACCTAGTCAGGTAATGAAACGTCTGCAAGCAAACAACCAAGCTTAGAGAGCACCAAGGACGCCAGAATTCAGCCCTGAGCTACAGATATTCTCTTCTACTGGGATAAATACATTAAAAAAAAAAAGGAACAAGGAGACACAAATATACCAGAAGAACTATCCTTTCTTCATGCTCTAAAGTACTCCTGATGTCACTCTTGCAAGCCAGAGACTTCTTCATGGGTGCAAGGGGCCAAACCTAACATTCCTCACCTAGTCAACTGGATAAAATTTTACTCTCCCTAGGGGACCAAGCAAATGGATCTTTATGGGGCCACTGAAAATGGGAAACAACACAAATTAATTCTGTGTTGACCTCTCTAGTGCTTTGAATTCTACTTTCTTGGCTCTCAGTGTGTAAATTCTCTCCTTGATGGATCATCTCTCTTGTTACTTGTTTCAACTGCATTTCTTCCTGTTTTTTTTTCTTTTCTTAGCATAGATGTTATTTCTACAGTGATTTTCTTAAAGATTCTAACACCCATCTTCACCTCTCCCTTTTTCCTTCCGTTTCTCTTCCGGTGAAGCCTGAAGGGATTGAGAAAGAAGTGGTCTTCAACTCTCTTTTCTGTGCACATGGTACGTTGCCCTTCTATAGCACCGAGTACAAGAACAAAACTCATTTGAGGACTGGGGTCCCCAGGATGGTACACACGGGAGCCATCTATCCAGGAGGTTCTTACCTGTAGTTCATCTAAATGCTTTTAATTAAAATTTGTTTAATTTTTAAAGAGTAGAGAATATATGTACCTCAGGGTTGAACTGTTGGGTCCTTGGTGTTCTCTGAGCTTGATTGTCTCTCTGCAGACATTTCATGACCAGGCTAGGTAACAACATCAGTGTGAGGGAGTGTGGAGACTGCATGAAAACAACGCTCAGAGAACATCAAGAATGCAACAGAAAGACAAGGAGCAGTCAAGCTACAAAGGAATATGTTAACTTCTTGCATTGTTTTTATTTTGAAAAGTCTCCCTGGGCTTCATGCTGATTCAGCAGTGTCTACGAAAGGGATAAGGTGGTGGGGAGAGTGGAAACGGCACTGCCACCATATGGCACGAGCCCTACTCCTTTTCTAATTGCGTTGCAACTACAGGTACATGCCCAAAGGGGGCAGGGTTTATGCTGCAACATTGCTTACATCACTCTGAGGAAAGAGGAAGTGACAGTCAAGGCTGCTGCAGAGATTCCATTGGTCCTGAGAGGGCATGGATTTTGATGCAATCAATTTGAATTGATTAATGACTTTGTGTCAGTTCCAGGGCTGTACTGGACTTTGCAGGGCAAGTCAAGGACTATGCTTCGAAATGGACAATTTTGGGACCCTTTTGCTGTTTTTTTTTTAAATTATTATTATTA